AGAGGGGGGATTTTTAAAATTACCGATCTAATAACAGCTTACCCAAGCCCAAGACTCTTTTCTGTGTATTATTTCAGCTGCCTGCGAACCTTAAAGAGATGGCTTGTTAGCAACTTATCTCAAAACAGTAGAAATAATAAACACAAGGCAAAATACTCTTCGAAGTGTTCTATATTTGCTTGGCCTTGTCGGCTAAACTATAACAATGAAAGATTATTCTTTTCTATGTCTGGTTTATGGAGAATACTACTAAGGTAACTATTCGGGGAGGAGATTTTGATTTCATTTCGAACGTTAGACTGTTTGATCTATTGTCTCTTTTATTTTTTCTCTTCCAAGTATCTTTAGAAATCTCTTGAAAAAGAATGTAGATTTAGTTGAAAACGGTAAGTCCCTAGCTTGTCAGATCTCTCAATCTCAGTACAGGTCGTTTGGAGTTCAAGGAAACAGAAGAGAAATGCCAAACAATATCATGTTCTGTGTCCGTGAGCGACAAGGACTGAGAAATGCTAATACTTTTATGTTAGAAAGGTGAAGCGCTAGACTCGCATTTTCCCTTTCCTACTCATATTCATAGCCAAAGATCGCCGCTCAGTGGTTCTTTTTCCTGTGCACAAAGCAGCTTTCTCGTGTTCATTATATTATATTTTATTCTTTCATATTGGTTAATGGAAATGAACGTAAATTCTGACAGCGGCCACAGGCTCTGTCACACTATATCCAAAAGAAATTAAAAAACCCCAAACATATCAAAACAACAACAACAACAATAATAACAACAACAACAACAACAACAACAACAACAACAACAACAACAACAACAACAACAACAACAACAAAGCAAGGTTACATTTTAATGTCAATAATATTTTTTTTATATTGTAGTCAAGCTAACCACTAATAAAATCTAGTGAGAAAAACGAGGTGCTGCATTTTCTTTACCGGCTTGTTTTGGGTTGAATAAGAAATAATGACAGAAACTGTGAGGTCGGTTCCTTGCTCTGTGGGATATGACGTGCAATATCATGCTATTTTCTCCCTTTCATCCACCAGCAAACTGGCACTAGGCTATCAGTAGAAATAGAGTAGATAAATGGCCAAGGTTAGCCCAGTTTAGGGTGTTACGTTGTATTCCGCGAGGAAGGAGGCTGGCACGGTCATTTGGGATAAACAGGAGGACCAGTGGGGGTTTTATGAAGTAGTGTCAGCCTGTAACTGTTTGAAAACAGTACTTTACACTTTGGAAGAAAAACAGAACAAAGCAAAACAATGCAAATTAAAGCAAGCAAAGCAAAACAAGAACAAAACAAAACAAAACAAAATAATTTTATTGCATTCCTTAGAACTGGCATGGTTGGTCGTAAACAGCCCTCAGCGCCAGAGAATAAGAATCTTGTAGAAGATGGGTTTCTTCGATCCTGCAGTGCGGGCTACCAGGTTCTGAGAGAGATACTGTATCCCAAAAAGAAAGACAGGGATACTTGACGATCCATCACCTCGGGAGTTGATCCTTTCTCTATTGCGTGCACTGGCAAAGAGCCTAACCATTACACCACAGGACAAGTGCTGGTTACAATAGGGTTAGAGAAAACAGGAAAACATTAAATTTTAAGGATGATTCAGTCGTCTAGTTATAACAGCCCCGACGGCCTTCGTAAAGGCGAACAAAAAGTTATTTGGTGAGAACTTTAAAGGCATCGTAAAATTAGAGTGAAAAAAAGTACTGTAAAAGCGTTTTCGTTTCAACAGAAGAGCTCGTGGGCACAACAGAGAATGGGAAACAAGACATGAGATAGCCCAGTGCATTAGTCCAAGTAGAAAATAGTAGTTCAAAATGTTAATCGATAAACAGTTCTGATTTGGCAGCAGAGCTTTAAAAAAATGAAAAGACATTTTTTCTATGAATAAATGATCGTCGTAATGAGTATTTGCAAAAAGACGTGGTGATTTCCATAATGTGATCGAATGACTACAATTTCTATGAAAGCATCCCCCTCCCTTTCCCTCTTTTTTCCTCGCAACCCCCACATCCCACCCAAACAAACAATCAAAATCAGTCAACGTGGAAAACAAGTGTTTCTCAGAAATATCCATTCCAGCCCGACATACAGTGTCGCTTGAATAAGAGGAACACTTTCGAATCAATTATTTGTATGACGAGTAATTTCGGAGACCACCCCTCTCTTAAAAGAAAGTACATTAAGATAAATCATTACGAATAAAAATCTCTTAGCTCACCAGTTTTAGAGGATTTCAAATAGATAATACAAAATAAAATAACACACCAGAATTGTCCAAATTTCTCCGTGACTTCTTTTTTTTTTCAATTTTCAAAATATGTGAAACTTCAAACACCAAAATGAGGTATAGCAAATGATGTGTTCGAAGGAATATATTCCTCTTTAAAAAGTAGCCCAGCAATACAAGCGAGTCAAAATGATAAGCTCTCGTTGGTTGCGTTCCAAAATCATTATGCACTACGGTAGGTTAGCATAGACTGCTCTGGCTCGCCAATATTGAATAATAAACATTTCAACTTAATTAATCTCTTTTTCCAATAACGTGGAACAGGGCCCCTGCCTCTTTCACACCGAATACTGGGGGTCTTGCAGAAGCAGCAAGGTTTAATTAATTATTTTTTTTAATGGTGTAAAACTCCGACTTTCTTTGGTAGTGATATGTTCTTTCTAAAGTTTAAATTCATTTAATTTTCGTGGCAAGAAAGTAACCAAAGCAGATGAGAAGAAAGAGAGCGGGAATGAACATTAAGATCATGGTGGTTAATACAGTGTACATTGTTACTGCAAATTGTGAAAGCTGTTGAAAATGCAAATGTATTTTGATATGTTTTTGTTGTAATGTGTTTTAGCTATTTGTGATTGTGGATTTTGTAAAGTGTGCACTTCCTACCGGTGTGCCATATGGCTGCATTCTGGATATCTGTCGGTTGGGCAGATAATAAGTGTACGACATCTCCCTGAATATCATTTCGCAGGTAAGTGACTACACCGAGGCATCCAGTGCACGTGCAGACATAACTGGTGTATCCTATGAGGTTCAGGTCCGTACCTTTGGATAGGGTTTCGTTTTGCCACGCTAATTAGATTTTTGATATTTTTTCATTAGCAATTACTTATACATAAAAGGATACGTGGACCTGAGACTGTCTTCAGTCATTCTTCTGCATGTCTGGTTTATGAGACAGAGTGCTCATACCATAGTGCTGTTAAGACACTGAAAACCCTTCCCTATCTCCCAACTCTTTTCTATTCTCTTGGTACAAGCAAAAGAATAGGTAGAAAAAATGTAGATAAACACATACTCGAAGTAAAGAAAAACAAGAAACATCCGAAAAAAGCAGCCTCCCTCTTTTCAGAAAAAACCCAAAGTAACCATAAAAACAAAACAAAAACAAAAACAAACAAAACCACCAACAAAAAAACCCAAATATAAACAAAACAAAACAAACAAACCCCAGCCCTACGTACAAATAAAGAAACGTATGCATACCAGTAAAACGGCTAAAAGTGCAAGGGCATAAACTCATTATCAGTAAGCTAATGTAAAGAAGCTTTTTCTCTTAGGGACATAATTGACCCAAAAGTACTATAAATTATATATTTTTGTTGTCGAGGACTTCACAGCGCTGTCCTAGTGAACGCAATGGGGGTGAATATTTTAGGATATTACAGCGTCTGCACGCTAACCCATAGAATTCCAGTAAATTGTGCGAAATATAACAATGTATCTTAACTGTTGCAAATATCATTATCAACGACTCTCTTGGATCTGGCAAAGTGTTCAAAGGTCGTCGTATCGATTCTTGTCGGCACAACAGAGACGAATGAAGGGGAAAAACCCGACAACTTCTTTATCTGTTTGTTTCAGTGTGCTTCGAGTCAACATCATTGTCTGGTACTGGTAACGACAGAGTCCCAGCGCCGGCGTTACGTTTTCTTTATGTACACACAAACTACATAACATTCCACGCACACTGGGAATAGAATATGCTACATGGTTTACAATAAATGACTTTTTTCCAACGTTCCCTAATCGGTGTTCACGATCTGAGGTTTCCAATAGAACCTCATGCCTAATGACGCAAAATCTAAACCACTGATGGAAGGACGCACTGGTAGACTGACGTCTGTACAGTTTCATCAGAACAACTTGCTATGATCACAATGTCTGTAAGAATACTAATTTCAAACAAAGGGTTTTCACATTTGACATAGATATCCTTGACGGTTTCGTTTGCTGTGAATCGGTGTTTTTAAAGCTTTTTCTGACAGAATCAATTTTTTTGCCCAATTTACCTATAGCTGAAAAGACTCTTTTTCTTTATATAATACAAGGAACCAATACATCGGAAAGAAAGGCATTATGAATCTTCTGTTTATACCCAAATTTTTAAAACTTGTATTATAAACACTGACAGCCTCGCTATCCCAGAAGTGCCCCAGAGCCTGCTTCTAATTTCATCTGTATATTTACGAGGTTGTTGAACTGTCTGGTGTCGGACTTTCATGATCAAGATAGCAGACGACAGTTTCAGCGGCCGAGCTCGAAGAGCTGACATCCGATTGATGGCTTTGGCGTCTGTCTGTGACGCCAGGGACGCTTTTTCCAGACGAAGCAGCCGCCAAAAACTTACTTTCAACTACGAAGCCGTGATCAGACGCCGTTTCAGCCATCAATAGAATTCTGTCGTTTAGTTCGTGAAGTGAGTTTTTCACCACAATGCTAAGGTCAGGCTCGTTGGTGGTGTTGGTTTGGCAAGTTGCTACGTATTTTCTAGGGGGCGTCAGGTTGTGACTGCCACCTTTAGAGGTGGCTACGGCTTCCCTTTGAGATGTTGGAATTTCTGTGAATTGTGTGGTGGCTGATGATGAAGACTCAGAAGAACTTCGAAAGCTGTCACGCGATTCTTCTCTCGAGTCCATTTGACCAAAGCCAGAAGGTTCTTGCAAAACCGTTGGCGTGCCATCACTCAGAGCTGTGGAAGTAGCACTCTGTCTGTATTCACCAGCAGAAGTGTTCTGAGAACAGGTGTCTGGAATCTGAGATCGCCCACCCGTCGCTCCATGCAGGGGAGTGCGATGTTCGTGAGTCACTGTTGTGTTTCCAAGATGTTTGTTTTTGCATTCGCCGTCTTTTTTGTAGTGGATCCCGTGAACTGACGGCGAGAGAGACACAGGGGCCTCTTGTGTGGACTGGCAAGGGTCTGTAACAACCAAATGTTCAGGATTTGAGCTCTGAGTGTCCGGAGACCCGGGGCTCAAGTCCCCTTTGTCTCGAGGCCAAGGCGTTCTCTGTCGATTTTGCACGGCCCTGCATCCCCCAACCTCGCTGCAAACACTTTCTATCATAGTGTTATAAGTTTCCGATTCGCAACTGAAGTCAGGGCTGTCCTCTGCTTCTTCCGGCGAGTCACTTCCCGAATCTTCGTCTTCGTCGTCGTCCGCTCTGTCAGAGGAAGAAAAGGCATCCGTCCCACCGAGAGAAACGGAAGTGCTAAAGCTGTTTGAGATCAACTGCTCTTCCTCTGTTGATTTTGTGTTGCTGTCTCCGCTCCTGTCCTCACTTGTGCTAGGGGCATCGTAACCGAATGGGTCACTCTCGCTAGTCTCTGACACTTGTTCGCTCTGACGAAAACTTTGCAATGTTAGAGACTTGTCTGAATCTTCTGTGTCTGTTTCCCCAGCGTATGGTAGATTATATGTCCTTTGGTGTGTTTCTACTTTCTGTACACATTTGGAGGACTGAATAATGGCTTCAACTTCAGTCCCGCTTCTCTGCAAGTTCGGGCTGCGGGCCGCGGAGTCTTTACTGTGCTGCTTGTTACGTACCTGCAAAATAGGGAGGCTTTTCTGCTTCTCAACATGTCCATTTCTCTTTCGTTGAGTGAGTTTTGTTGGGGAATCTGGAACATGTTGTTTGTCATTCCCTGCTTTTGTCTCTGCACCTCTGGCTGGGATGGATGACTTGTTAACTGTTGTCAACTGATCATCGTGTCGTTTCGACTGTTTCTTCCCCGTACCGCTGGAAGATGAAGCTGTAGATCTCTGACGTGGCACACAACCTGCACCCACAGCAACGATGTCATTCTCCTCTTTACTAGCAGCTTTTGACCTCTTTAGGACACCCTTCACCTTCCCCTTCTGCTTGGCCTTCTCCAAAGGTTTCGCAGGTGAAGAAAACTGATGGGAGATTTGTGATGACATACTTTCCCCCCCTGAAGATTTTTTCCGATACTTGGCCATGGTAGTTGTAAGTTTAGCCACCCTATAAAATTTGGCTGACGGTTTCAGAAACTCTACCTCGGACTTCTGATACCCTTCGCTCAGACACCACTCTAGAGGGGTGAGTTGGCTGACTTTGTCTTTCAGTGTGAGAGAAGCCTTTCCTTTCAACGCCAGGATCCGTGCACACTGCAAAAAGCCGTTCTTAGCCGCAATGTGAAGTGCTGTGTAGCCTTCGTGGTTGAAGTGATCGACCTGGAGACCGAGGCGACGAAAGTTCCGAACTAACAGCTCGAGAGCCACGTCGTTTCCGATGTAGGCTGAATGGATGAGAGCCGTGTTACCTGAGGCAAATAAAGAAGAAACAAGAAATGACTAGTCGTGGTGCATCTACTAATACAAATAACACACAAACACACACATATACACAGACACACACACAAACACACATACGGACACACATAAATATATAATATATTATAATACATACACACTTATTTTATATAAATAATTACATATATATACATATTATATATATATATATATATATATATATATATATATATATATATATATATATATATATATATATATATATGTGTGTGTGTGTATGTGTGTGTGTGTGTGTGTGTGTGTGTGTGTCTCTAGAATCTCGAACACAATGTTCGGTCCCGTTTCAGTCCGTATGTTTTCTTTATATTGCTTTCACGGAATTCCCGAACACTCGAAACACGTAACACTCGAATCTCGAACAAATCCCCTTCGCATTCTTAACTAAAGACCCAGCTTTACGCCTTTCAGCCTATATAATATATAAATGCACGCACACTCACACACACACATATGGGGCATCACTCGCCCATCATTACTAACCGTTGAGATCCTCCAAATCGGGACTTATGTCTGCGTGCTGTATATAGATCCTCACCAAGTCGTTGCATCTCTGCTCACATGCATGGATGAGAGGCGTGCGGCCATTCCTGTCCCTCATGTTCACGTCGGCCCCCGCCTCTTTGATGATGCGTACCATATTGTCACGTGTCACCTCCTCCTGCGTGGGGGGGAAATAAACGACACCATTAGGATGCATTTAAGTCTGGTATCGTACCATATCGTTACGGTTTACTGTTACAGTATGGCCTAATTCATTGTTTATTGTTGGAACTTTGAGATAATCGAGAAAACTTGATTTTTATTTGTTTATAAAAGACTTTTTAAATAAAAAATGGAAATGTCTAAATTTAGGATAACGCGCAAGCACTTAAAAAAACCCCAACAACTAAATGATGTACCATGAAGAATTCTTAATTCTATTGTGGCGTAAGTCTGACTTCATGACGACATCGACATCAAGATGTTTAGATTTAATGAACTCAACATTTTTATTTGTTAAAAATAAAAGTTTCTTAATTAATATGTGGCGTTGGTTGCATGTGTTAAAGAAATATATTGGTTAAATTCAAAATCTAAATTGAAAAAAAAAAGCCAGAAAATGTATATAATGTGGATTAAAAAAAGGAAGGAAAAGTGCATACTGTAGATATTATAATTGTTAAAAGAATAAAACACTTTTTTCTCTCCCCTGAAATATCAATGTTGCTTTCTAGGCTAAGGGCATTTGAATCTTTTCCTTTTTCCTTTAGAGTCTGTCCGTTTCTTTTCTTCCTTAAAATCTATTACCGGCTTGCTAGGCGTGTTGTAACTTCACCAGAGGCCGGCGACGTCTCATGGTGACCCAGGGAAACTCAACATCCTTATTGACGGAACACAACTCCAATACGTGGAGGAATTTAAATAATTGGGAAGCATCTTCACACACAATGGGAGTATGGACCAAAAAATAGAAACAATAACTATGAAGGCAAATGCAGTGACCTACCAGCTAGCACCCTTGCGAATGTAACAAGAACATCCCAACCGAAGTAAAATCCCAGCTCATTAATAGCATCTAAATACCAACATTAATATACTCGTTCCAGTGCCAAACCTGGTCTCTAAACAAGGAACAAGAAAAAAAAATCAATGCATCCAAATGAGATGTCTCCGCAAAACCATCAACGTCACCTGAAGAGACCACAAAGGCAACGAAACCGTACGTCCATCACCAGTAATGAAATTCATAGAGCGTCAAAGAGTTAAACGGTTTGGACATCTAACCAGAATGCCACAGAAACAACTAGCGGCTAAAGCTTACAGCACCCGAGAATCCGGCTTCAAATCAAGAGGAAGACCAAGAAAAACCTGGCTGGACGGGGTTAAAAAGCTCTTGGAACAACATATCTATCGGAGACGCTGCACGCTTAGCACAGGACCGAAACCTGCACCTCCCCTCGACATCCTGAGGATGCCAGAGGAGGCAAATGCATTTGAATAGCTTGCAGTAGATAATGCATGTTTTGATTAAGTATGTCAAGTTTTGTTCAGAGTACGATACAATTTGGTTTCTTATAGAGCAACTATGGTTAGGAATGAAATGATAGTTGCATTGTTTGGTACAATAGGAGTTGATGCAGCAAAATATTGAGTGCTATGGTAATATATAGTATGATAATTGTATTTATTAAAATGTGGTATGATACAGTGGCCAGTTGCCGTGTAGTTTGGCACGGTTTAATACCGGTACATGATTGTTTATCGTTGCTGTGATCTTATATGGTACCGTAGTATACTGTATTACGAGATGATACTTGTATTGTTTCATGTGGTATGGCTTCATGCAATAAGGTGAGTTTGGTACTTTTCAGAAGTTCAGTGTGGTAGAGTTTGGTATGGCATCATTACGTTTTATTTTTTGTAAACATGCTTTTATAAAATGTGGTTTTGTATGGATTTGGAGGTCCCTTCAATGCTGTTGTAAGGTTTTTGTACTTCCACGTCCAACAGACATGAACTATGGATATCTCCAATCGCATGCTGGAGCCTCCTGATTGGTATAATGTTGCGACAGAACTTGAAAGCCATTTGTACATTTTTATTATGGCAGTTACATTTCGAGAACATTTTGAGAAAAACAGAAGCAATCACTGTATTTGTTGCAGCCAAAAACTAATTGATTTGAGTAGTTTTTATAACAGTTTTTTTGTCTGACGCTCCAGTTCATGAGCTTTATAACTCATTATTTGCATACATCAATCAAAATTGGGTGCAACACAAACAATCAAGAGATAATATCATAACTCTTCCAGGACAATGACAAAAAAGAAACAACAAGGTTTACTTGTTTCATAATAACATTAAATTGTCTTTCCAAAGCTTAAATATGGCGCTTTCAATCTAATGGATGGGCTACCAGACTCGTTCTCATGAGATTGAAATTGTATGCTCCGGAATTTACGGCTCAGTTTGCACTACGTTGTGTACATGGGAAATACACTCTATACGAGTTTCACCATTTGATTTGGACATTCCACCTATACAACACGCCGATGTGGAAAAGGCTAAAATGATTATTTGGGAACTTTTTAGGGGTTTGTTAAAGACATGCCACCATAGATCCACCTTAGAGCTCAGTTTTGTATTGTTTAATCAAGTCATTTAAATTGAAAGGGAATTGGTTTATGACAAAACTCCCTGACTTTGTTAAGGGTGAAATAATAGATATATATCGTTATTCGAATTCTGGTTTGCTCCTTGAGAACTTTTTACCTTTTTTTTCTTCAATTAATTATTCTTGAAAAAGAGAAATCAAGAATATCAGGCTACCTCACACATAGAGGAATTGGTGGTTTTGAAGTCAGCTACCTAAACACTTCCTAAATGGATCGTGCATGATTAAACTCATTTAACCCTTGAGCTGATTAGGAAGACTGACAACAGGAAGGAATGAGGAACAACTCTGCAAATGTGTACTAATCTTAAATAAGCTTTTCGTTAAGACGCAACTGTTACAGCACAATTTCAGCTTTTACAATTTAGTTTTCCCCACTGCTTCTACAAGAGAATAACGTTCTGTTATCTATTATATATCTGGCAACTTGGAAACACATGTGTTACTTTTCCCATAAAACTACGACAGCTACAAAGTTGAAAGTTGGCAAGTACTTGCATAAAGATAGATAGGTCTTCATGACGGAGCACGATTTTTTATTTATTCATTTCCTTAATTTAGAAAAATATATTTGACAAAAAGTTCCCGTCCTTCTTTGGCCTTTGTGATTATTCCACTGAGAAACGAAATAACTCTGCGTAGCTGTCCTTCACAGCGGAAGTGTCTGAAGTGATATTTGGCGAGGCGCATATTGTGTTGAGAGTATAGATCTAGACCTTTAATTTTTTGCCTCTCTCAAGATTTATTGCTCCATTCCAGTAGAGTGTAAAAATAGTAGACCAATGACTTTGAATTGATATTAATGCACCGATCATTCCTTTCATTGAAAGGGAGCCCAGCTAGCTTCACATTATTATACGTTTTTAGTCTTACGTCCCTGAAATGTAATACCCAGCCCACATTGCCTGTTTGATACATCTGATTTAATTGGTACTGCAGATTTTCCATCATGGAGGAGCAAAAGTTACCATTTTTGCACAATTCAGCCGAATCCTACAGAATTAAACATTTTGTATTAAATCAAATTGGTCGTATCCGTCGAGTGAAAGCACCAAATCACAAGGCTTGTAGCCTACACGGCACATAGCGTCGCAATGACAAGGTCGGATCCTTTGTTTTCTTGGAATGAGTTAATAGTGCTGATTTGGAGAGGCGGTTAGAAAGCTGTTAAAATTTCATATATCTGCGCAGTTCAAGAACCTCTCATCACAGCAACTGCAATGTACGGCAATTTGCCCTAGAAATCATTATTGTAGAACATGGCAATGTTGTGAACGCTAACCTTTCTGTACAGCAAAGCTGCTCGGTGCCGGATGTGACTCCTTCGCCAAGTTTCTTATTCTTTAGCATGCAGTAAAAACTTTTCTCTACTTTGACTCCCGTGTCATAATTTGAAGAAATAAAGTTAGGGTTCTATTTGTAGAGGGAACTGAGACAGTCATTAATCAATCAAAGTCAACCCGACCCGATCCGATATTCTGCCAATGGGCACCCGGTATATTGTTGTGTTGGAATCAGTATCGATAATATCAAGAGACAACTAATTCCCAATACTCCCTTTTCCCTTGACAAGAATACTGAATTAAAATGGAACATGTGAATGCACAAGATGTGAAAAAAGGTGAACCCTGGTTCTGTGGGAAGGGCAACAAGAAGTACAAGTTTCATACCGAAAGATCCCAAATTCTCAGTTATTTTCCACACAGAGACATTTTTAATCAAGATCTCTGGGCTGGCGTTCCAGGTTGAATACAATTTGCTTTTTTGAGCCGTTTCATTAGCGCGCCAGGAAGACATTTGAGATTTTAAAAAAGATATTGGGAGAAACATTACTCAAACAGGTAAAAAAATAAATCTAATAACATCCATAATGGATTTGTTTTGTGTGGATCTAAATCATTTTTATTTTCTTGTGAAATTTAGTCAGAAAGGAAATAATAGCTTCAGCTAAGAGAGATAATGCAGTGTGAAGGGGAAGGGAATCTGGAATAGTCGACAGAGTGGTGAGAAATCGGTACAAAAACGGGGATTGACATCAAACCACAACACTCGTCAACTCTACATAGGTATATTCTCTACATTCGGCCAGTCTGTTCTTTTACAAATTACAAATTTTATAGCAGCCTATCATTTTTGTATAATAATGTTATCTATTTGCCTTTGACAGAGTTGATAATGATACTACTACTACTACTACTACTACTACTACTACTACTACTACTACTACTACTACTGCCACAATCAATTCTGCGTCGGTTGTCTAGTGGTTAGGTTAGTGGACTCGTAATCGAGGCGTTTGAGGTAGAGCTGGGTGAAGATTCCGGAGCCGATTCCCACGATTAATGCTATGGAAGAAAAGTTCCGACTCTCTTTTACTTAAACCAACGGTTACCAGTTACTTTAATCTATATAATCAACTAAAATTTTATATATTTTTAAAAATAATTTTGTTTTGAAAAATAAAAGTTGATGCTTCGTAGTGTTCCGAAATCAAGGTTAGCCTG